CTGTCATTGCCAACAATATACAACAATAAGGATATACAACAAAGTATTGAGATGAAATTTTGTTATTGACCAAATACTTACAGTATTTTCCACCATTATTTGCAAAAAAATTCTTTAAAAGTCAGACAAAATGATTTTCTCAAATTTTTTTTCACATTTTGTCTCTCATAGTTGAGGTCTACCTATGATGTCAATTACAGGCCTCTCTCATCTTTTTAAGTGGGAGAACTTGCACAATTGGTGACTGACTAAATACTTATTTTCCCCACTTTATATATATACTATCTCTTTTACAAAACAGTGACTGTATGTTAAAGTTCTGTTCAAACTGTTTCAGCTGGACCACAGCCGAGAGGTGAAGGAGGAGTACAGGAGTGACAGAGAGGGCTCGGCCACGCCCAGCGAGGACGTGACATCATCACCGTGCGCCCAGCACAACGGCAGCTACAAGACTCACAGCGAGGACCACGCAGCTGTGGGTGCTCACCGCTCCAAGTGACCGTCCCGGTTCTGTTGAGTGGACCTGCGCCCCGTCGGGCTCTCCCATCGAGTGTGTACGCTCCCACAAACTGTGAAAACCCACTACAGCAAGTCCTTTTCCTCTTCTGTCATAAAAACACCAGCTGGGAGTCTGTAACGAAGCTGCTCTTCTTTCCTGAAAATAAGGCTTCCGTGTCGCAAAGATGGTGTAAAAACAACAAATTCATAAACAAACCAACTCATCAGGGTGATTTTAAAGGCAGAGCTTGTTTCAAAGCTGTTGAATTAGATAAAATAATCAATTTTAAAGCTGCTCAGATCCGCGTCTGAAAAAAATACATTACCGTCGGCCATCTTTAAAAAACCAAACTAAAAGAACTCTGAGTTGAAGCTGAGTTTTAACTCTGATTTTATCTCCGACTGTAAACTGCAGGAGATTAAACACTGTTTGATGTTCTCATATTGGCAGTACACGCCATATTTCCCCTTTAAAAACAGTTCTGTCTCCTGGAGATTCATGCGTTTGCAGCTTTTGTCTGATTTGTAAGAAATAAAAAACTGCACAACCCGACTGTCGGCTTATTTTGAACTACGGTTCGCAGACGAGTCAGCAGCAACGTTAAGGGAAGGAAGCCGATGTATGTTTGATGAGAAATTTAAATTTGATCTGCATAAACGCTGCGAAGGAAAGAAGCTGCACTAAACCTGAATTACTCTAAAAACCCGTCAGGTTCTGCAAGAAAAGTGAGTCTTTTTTCTGTTTCTAAATGAGTCAGAAGTCTCCTTTTAGTGTTTCTGTAAAGTTTCATTCGAGCAGCTGAAAATATCACGCATTAAATCGTCTTTACCCCAACAAAGACTGTAGAGTTTTTAATCATTTTTGATCAATTTTCACTCAGCAGGAACAAAAACAAGAGGCAGTTTGGTGCTAAAAGATGAAAAAGTTAAGAGTTGTTCCTTAATTTTCTTTCTAAATAAAGCAAAAGAGCTTTGCACATTTCCTCTGACCATGTTTAATACAGTGGTTTGCAAAAGTATTCATACCCCTTGAACTTTTCCATATTTTGTCACATTACAACCACAAACATAAATATATTTCACTGGAATTTAATGTGAAAGACCAACACAAAGTGGTATACAATTGTGAAGTGGAAGCAAAATTTTACATGAATCAAAACATTTTTTACAAATAAAAAACTGAAAAGTAGGTAGATGTAGGTTAAGAGAATATTGGGGAGCAAACAGCATCATGAAGTCCAAAGAACACACCAGAAAGGTTAGGAATATGGT